TGGAACTTTAAAACTGCTTTCTATGCGAGAGCTTGTTTAGACTCCAGCTTCTACTCCCCCATCTTCCTGGAACTCCCCGGCTTTTTTCTTTTTTCTTACATGGTGCTGTGGAATCGAATTCAGGGCCTCAGCCATGCAAGGCAAGAGCTCTACCACTGAGCCACCTCCCTAGCCCCACAAGGCTCATTTTCAATAAACTATCCCCAGAATGTACAAAAAAGAGCTGTGGCTCAAGTGGGAGCACACTAGCCTGGAGCTAAAGAAACTTAGCAACAGTGCCCAGGCCCTGAGTTCAAGCCCTAGGACAGGCACATACATAAACACACACACACACACACACACACATACACACACACACACACACACACAAATAAGGGTAAAAATGACAAAAAATGGAGATTAAATGAACAATGTAAAAAAATCAGTGAGAGAAGCTGAGGCCTGGTGGCTCATGCCTGTAATCCTAGCTACTCTGGAGGCTAAGGTCTGAGGATCATGGTTCAAAGCCAGCCGAGGCAGGAAAGTCCATGAGACTCATCTCACTAGAAAACTGGAAGTGGCAACTGTGGCTCAATTGATGGAGTGCCTGCCTTGAGCTGAAGAGCTGAGGGACAGTGCCCTGGCCCAGAGTTCAAGCTTCAGGATAGATAATAAAAAATCAGTGAAGGTAAGAAGTTTCCTTAATAGCTAAGACTGACAAGCCTTCATCCAAGAACAGTGAAGGCATCAAATAAGAATACTAGAATATCATAACAGTTTAAATTAAAATAGTCACTGGGGAATATATTAGAAAATTAGTCCAGGGGCTGGGAAGGTAGCTCAGGGGTAGAGTGCTTTCCTTGCATGCCTGAGGCCCTGGGTTCTATTCCTCAGCACCACATAAGCAAAAAAGAACAAAGCCAGAAGTGGCACTGTGGTTCAAGTGGTAGAGCACTAGCCTTGAGCTGAAGAGCTGAGGGACAGCGCCCAGTCCCAGAGTTCAGGCCCCACGACTGGACCCCCCCAAAAGAAAAGAAAAGAAAAAATTAGTTCAACACTATACAAAACATACAAGGAATGGATTCAGTCTTTGAAAGTTGGACCCATCAGGTTTGATCCAAGATGACTTTAATCACCTAACTTCATCTGTAATCAGCAGTATATCGATTCACTGATAGGTTACACCAGGTGTTCAGAATTACCACCAATGCTCCTCAGACAAGTTCAAAAACTAAGAAAGGAAGAAGGCTACCAAACTCCCTCTCATACCAAAGTGAGAACAGACTAGAGACAAGATTAGACACCTATTTCCTTGAAGAGCTCAGATGTAAAATATTTCATAACATATCTGCAAGTAATTTCAACAATGCATTAAAAGATCATACACCAAGCCCACATTGCATTCCACCCATAATTGCAAGTGTGGCTCAACAAGTCCTGGACAATTTGAAGAGTAAGACCCTGGACACCTCTGGCTCGCACCTGTCTTCCTAGCTATTGAGGCTGAGATCAGAGGATCACAGTTCAAAGCCAGCCTGGGAAGAAAATTCTAGGAGACTCTTCAATTCCCTACCAGAACACTGGAAGTGTCACCAAGTTCCAAGTGGCAGAACGCTAGCCATGAGGAAAAGAGCTTAGGGACAGCACCCAGGCCCTGAGTTCAAGCCCCACTACTGATTCCCCACCCTCCCAAAAAAGTCATTATACCAAGGATCCATCTGCTTGAAAGGCTTCTCCACCAACACAATATCAGTTGTAAGAAGTGAGTAGTTAGGGATTTTAATGAAGTAGAAGCAATGGGAAGGTAGATACAGTCTGGCTGGGACCTGACAAGGCAAGGTGTGTGCAGTGTGCAATAGTGGCCACCATCATGCCAGGACTTGGGTGTGGCCCAGGAACAGAAGTCAGATGGTGCCTTTCCTAAGGGTCAGTCAATGGTTACTCCCAGATCTGACCTGGCGTGGGTGCTTCCACTCAAATCCTGCCCAGGACTTTCTTGGCCCTTCCGGATTCTGCTGTTTTGATTGGAATGGAAGACGATTTGCCAGGCTGGTGGTTTTGTGACGATGGCGACCACAGTGTGGCCTGCTCTACCAGCAGGAGGTGCACAAGGGGTGGGGCTGGAGCCTCCAAGCTAAGAATGCAGGGTTTGTGTGTGGGGGGGGGATGTGACCTCCCAGCTGCTACACAGGCTGAGTCACACCTTTGAGTCACAACCCATTTTTTCTGAAAATATTTGTCAGGAGCATCAAGTCTTCTGCACGAGTGAGAGGTGAGCGTGTCTCATCCCTCCTTCATATTGAGCATAGTCACCAGGTGCTGCTCTGAATGAAGCCAAGTCAGGAGCTGGCTGTGAGCTATGGCTGGCAGGTGTGCGGCAGGGGAGCAGGCGTCAGGGGTCCAGCCACCGTGTGGCAAGGACACAGGGGACAGGAAAGAGATTCATACAAGATGGTGGTGAAGAACTGAGGGTGCTCAGGAAGAAAGGAGACAGAGATGGAGAGAGACATCCTGAAAGTGCGAACTCTCCAGAATTCACAAGTCCAGGCAGGGCTGCTTGTCAGCATGACGATGGGTGGCTGTGCTTCCAGCGGACTGCAAGGGTGCATGGAGTGCAGAACATAACCTTGAGCTGAAGAGCTGAAGGACAGTGCCTAGGCCCAAAGTTCAAGCCCCAAGGCCAACCAAAAAATAAAAGAGGAAAAGCGTGTGGAGTGTTGTTGAGTGCTGTGTGAGAGGGGAAGTGTGAAGCATGGGTTGCCTTGGATTGGGATCGTGCTCAAGACAGAGTTTAAGGTGGGTACAGGGTGGGGTGCTCCTGGGGACCGGGTGCTGAAAGGGGGTGGAGTGGGCGCAGGGAAAGCCTTCATCCCCTCAGAAGGCAGGGAGCTGGTGGAGGAAGCACGCTGACCCTAGGTCAGGAAGATCAGTCCACATCCATCCTCTCCTAGCTGACACAGACAGAGAGGACCTCTGAGCACGGGAACACCAAGGGTCAGGAAAGGACCAGGTGTGTGTGAGGTTAATGATGACACCAGACAGCTCCCGAAGGAGACCCCAGCACCAATGTGCTGGGTGGAATAACTTTGGGCTGGATTAAGGGTGTGGGGCAAGGATGGAATCTGGCTAAAGTGAGTTTGGGGGGAAGGGTACAGGGATAGTGGGGCCTGTGGTTCAAGCCTTTCTGTGCTGGTGGAGAGGCTGTGGAAACTTCAGGATCAGGAAGAGGCACTGGGCTCAGAGCCCACAGTCCACTCAACACCAGGCATAGTCCCTGGATGGCCCTGGACGCAGGCCTTCCATCTGCTTGCTTTCCTTTTCTGGGCCGATCCCAGAACTTGAACTCATGGCCTGGGTCCTATCCCTGAGCTTTTGTGCTCAGGGCTGGTGACTGTCCCCGGGACATCAGGGCTACTTCTGGCTTTCTGTCACCCTGCAATTCATTCCTGAGAAGAAAAGGGTGGAGGTGGAGAGGCCCGGACCGGAGGGCCCTGCCTGTCATTCAGCACAGCAGCCCTGACCTGCACCCCAGAGGCTGTGGTAAAGTGACCTCATAACAAGGGACATGAGGAGCACTGCAGGAAATGTCACAATAGCCAAGCAAGGGACTTTCTCAAGGAGCCTTCGTGTTTTAAAAATAACTTTACATTTAAAAATGTGCTTTTCAAAAGTACACTTAATGTCCTTGTTGAATTAGCAGAGAGTCTAGAGATAAGTAACATAGACCGCCAGGGAAAAGTAAGAGTTGTGAAAATAAATTATGTGTAAGAAATAAGCACGGACAAGACTAAGGGAGTAACTGTCAGGAAGGAGCCTTGATGTTTGTGGTCAGAGCTATACCAGCAGAACTCTCTTCCTTCCTTTCTTCTTTCCTGCCTTCTGTCCTTCCTTATTCCTTCCTTCCTTCTTTGCTGGCTTGCCCTCTCTCTTCTCTGTCTGTCTCTGTCTGTCTGTGTGTCTGTGTCCCTTATTCTCTCTCTCCTTCTTTGTACCAGGCCTGGGTCATGAACTCTGGGCCTCCATTCTGTCCCTGGGAAGATTTTGCTCAAGGCTAGTGCTCTACCACATCAGCCATAGCACCACCTCCATGGTTTTTGTTTTTTTTAGTTGTTTATTGGAGATGAGAGTCTCAGAGAGTTTTCTACCTAGACTGGCTTTGAAATGTGATCCTTAGATCTCACCTCCTCATTTACTCAGAACACAGGCATCAACCACCACACCCAGCTGCTATTTTCTTTTCTTTATTTTTTTATTGTGAGAATACCCTACAGAGGCGTTATAATTACACGGCAAGATATGGAGTACGTTTCTTATCAAGCATTGTTGCCTCCTCTTTGTTTCCCCTCCCCAACCCGATTCCCTCCCACACCAATGTTGCAAAGTTCATTTTTTGACATAATGACTTGAATGTCTCATTTTGCAATGGGTCCACCTGTATCCCTAGTTAAACGATTTGTTTTTTCCCTTCCCCTCCACAAATTATATCATCAAATGAAGTGAAAGCATGGGTTATACCATGGGCGAGGGACATCCAAAGCAATTTAGAAATTAGCTTATAAATATTTTAGAAACAATTGCCAGCTTCTACTTTCTTTTCAACTACTCTCTTTTCCAGAACAGAAAGGGCTTTAAGAATGATTTGCTTCATTGCATAGGGAACTATTAAAGAAAGAAAGAAAGAAAATCAAAAGACTCAAAATGGAATTAGGAAAACATGTTAAGTGAGTTTAACCAGTTTATCTTGAATTTGAACGACTACCACTTTATGGGGCAGATTCTCTGGAGGAAGTTGACATGACCTAATAAGCATTATTTCAAAATCTCAAATTTCGACTTTCATATAATTTTGTGGGCCAGAACAATAGAGACACATGAACACACACACACAGATATATAGCACGCAAATGCACAGGTGTGGACGTGTGTGCACACCTCTATCTCTCAGCTGATGACTTTTATCTAGGTGTGGAGATTATTGAAGGGCCAAGCAAAGTTCAATAGAGATGCAAGCTTGGTGGTCCTCAGGGGAGGAACACTTTCTTCTTTGTGCAGGTGAAGAGGAGGCTGCAGGGAATGGAGTGTCCACTCATGAGCAGGAAAGGCCTGAGGGCTGGGAAACAGCCCAAAGCACGTGCTGCCATATGGTGCAGCACAGGGCTATTGTTGTAAATCACAGACAAGCAATTCTGACTGATGTAGGACATGATATAAAAAGAGATAAAGGTGCTCATCAGGAAGAGGATGATTATGGTGGCTCTGGACTTGAGAGAGCCTCTGGTGGAGACGCTGATCCTCTGGATGTGTCGCATACTCTGCTTATGTCTGTACAGGATGAAGAGCATCGAGGTGCTGGCACAGAGCATGAGTCCCAGACACAGAACATCAGGCACCGAGAGCATGGACACGTACAGCACATTAGTAGCTGGGTCCTGATGCATGGAAGGAAAGTATCCATAGGCCTTTAAGCTCCTCATGTTGTCTTGGGCTTTGGGTTCTTTCATGAACATGAGAAAAACAATGCTCAGCAGGATGAAGACCCCCCAGCTGAAGTAGACGGTGGAGACAATTTGCTTGTGGGGTCTCCCCTTCAGCCCTGCCCACTTGGAGTCCCCCTGGCTGATGCTGACAGCAAAGAAGATGCTCAGGGAGCAAGTGCTACTGATCAACACCCCCCACCCCATACACTCGGTGAAGATAGAAGACCATTTTGCTCCCCACATCATTGAAGAAAGTCCTCCAATTTCTCCAACCCCAAACCACCATGGTTTGAGGAACACCTCTACACAGAAGACTTAGGAAGGTGGCCACAATTAAGTGCCTAAGAATCAAGTCTGTGGCTCTAAACCTGTTCCCCATGCAGGAAAGGAATAGATAATGGGAAAGAAGAGACAAATCACCCACAAATCCAACCACAGTCTGGACTAAGAGAATCACCCCCATAAATACATGGGCATCTCCCATCCTCTCTGTTCCTTGAGTCTCATCCAGAGGCTCTGGCTTGGGAAACTGAGGCCTGCACGGTGCCAAGGGAACTCAGCATTCTCCATCCAGCATTCAGACCACCAGAAATACTGTCCTAATGTATCTCATGTATTAGAAAAAATCCAATTCTCCTCATCCATCAGGAAGAGAAAGATAACATGTTCAGGGAAATGGGTGAACCAGGAGAAATGGCATTAAGGGAAGGTGAGTAAGGTTCTGAGATGAAGGCGGCTGCATTTCTCCTCTGTTGAATCAGATCTAAGATTCTAAAAAAGCAAGGTCCAAGTGGCTCAAGTCAGTAATCCTAGCTACTCAAGGGCTGAGACCTTGGATTCCCAATTTAAAGCCAGCCCTGAAAAGGAGACTCTGAGACTCTTCTCCAGTTAAGCACCAGCAAACCAGAAGTAGACCTGTGGCTCAAACTGGTAGAGGCCTAGCCTTGAGCAAAAAGGGCTCAAGGAACATGGGCAAGCCTCAAGTACTAGCTCTCTTACTGACTAAAGAAAAAAGTTTGAAACATGCTTGACACATTCCCGGGGTCCCTTGCACTTATTCCTCAATATGCTGGCTGGGAAGTGGGTCCCAAGTGTCTCCCTTTCCTGACACGGAGCCCACATTTCACAGAAGAAATACCAGGAAGATGAATCAGGTCTGGGATGGGCATGGTGCGGATGAAGTAGGAGGTGGGTGACAGAGAAAGAGAGGGGGCAATTTTAGGTTTAAATGACATTCTAGAGTCACTGATGTGAACACATGGTTCCCAGCCCCTGGAGAATCAGGATTCCTCCTCACTTGTCATAAACCAGGACAGACTCTGTTAGGAAGAGGAAGGGAGGAACCAACAGGGCTTGGAGGGGCTAGAACCGCAGGTTTTGTCACTGTCCTAGCCCATTCCTATCCTTACCTGTGACTTTGTCATGCATCTGGGTGCAATCCAGAATCCCTGCTCCTAAGGTGATCCTTTACCCAGAGTGTGCAACCTGGGGTCTCTCCTGCAGGCTGTGCCTCTGCAGTGGCAGTGAACACAAATGCTGGCCTCTTCTCTCAGGATGTGTATGGCAGGGTGGTCATTTCTGAGATGCACATGGGCACTTCAGAGCTGCAGAGAGCTCCCTAGATAGGAGTCCCAGAGGGCGGCAGCTGAGGGTGTCTCCCGCTGGAGTGGTGATTTTCCCTTCACCTGGTGTGGCAAGCCAAGTTCCCACTAAGCTTTTTCTTTTCCCCCATGTGACAATTATCAAGACACTTTTCCCTTTCTCGTGGGTGCGTCTCCAGGGGGGAAGGGAGTGTTGCAGTTGCTTATCTCTCCTGGATCGCAGTAGGCCAGCAGGAGACGAGGCCCAACCAGAAATGACTGTCTGTAAACAACCTCAACGGTGTGTAAGCCATGTGTCCCCAAAGTTTCTTACCCAAAGTGTCCCTTCCCTTTTTTTTCCCCCATTCTGAGACTTGAACTCAGGGCTTTGGCACTATTCCTGAGCTGCTTTTGCTCAAGGCTAGCACTCTACCATTGGCGCCACAGCACCACTTCTGGCTTTTTCTATGTAAGTGCTGCTGAGGAATTGAACCCAGTGCTTCATGCATGCTAGGCAAGCACTCTACCACTGAGCCACCTTCCCAGCCCTCCTCATCTCAGTCTCCTTTTCTTTTATCATCATATATGCTGTTAGAAAAGAAAAATGGAACCCTGTACTGATGCAATCTCAGGAGCCTGATATCAGAGAATCAAGGTTCAAAGCCAGCCTGGTGAAGAAAGCCCATGAGATACTTATCTCCAATTCTTATCTACACTCTCTGGTGGTAGAGTGCCAGCCTGGAACAAAAAACTCAGCAACAGTATCCAGGTCCACAGTTCAAACCCCTGGACTGGCATAAAAGAAAGAAAGAAAGGAAATAGAATGAGACATTTCTGTGCAGAAATATCTTTGGCAATAATAGCCATTTTTTCTAAAAATATTTTCATTCCTAGTGACGCTTTTTGGAGATTAGAGGTAAACATTTCATGCATATTCCTGAAAGCAGGGTGACGAGCGATCTCTTTTCATGCCTGGTCCTTAATGAGGAGTTTTCTTCAATATCTAAGTCCCTACTCATTTTCATAGTTATCAGTGGTGATTTTGAGGAAGTAATTTGTCACTATGCTCAGGAGAGGACCAGTAGTGACTCCTTACCCTGGGTTTCTGGTCTACCTCATTGCATGTGACTCCATTCCTCACCTGGACTGTTCTGGTCTTGCTGACAATTCCTCTGCCCTGTTCTTGTCTGTTTCAAGAACATATATTTGTCTTTCTGTGTCTGACTTCTTGCATTTTCCACAGCGATCTGTACTTCCACAGATGTGGCAGCAGATGACAGGATTTCCTTTTTGTTCCTGGCTTAGTCATAATTTGTGATGTTAATAGGCTACATCTTCTTTATGCATTCATCCAGAGTTGGGCCTGTGACTCCACTGCTCTGAACCTGCCTGACTTTGCTCCACACGACCATGTCCAGTGTCACTTGTTGGGAGCCGACAGCAACGTTTAAAGGTCATCTTGATCCTGATGCTCACTTGAGGAACTGCATGGAGCGTTGCTGAGCCCTGTGGGGGAGGGGAAGCGCAGGGTGTGGGTTGTCTTGGATTTGGATCAGGCTCAAGACAGAGTGTGAGGTTTTTGTAGGGTGGGGTACTCCTGGGGAGTGGGTGCTGAGAGGGGGTGGGGTGGGGGCAGGGAAAGCCTTCGTCCCCTCAGAAGGCTGGGAGCTGGTGGAGGAAGTGTGCTGCCCTTAGGTCAAGAGGCTAAGTCCACATCCGCGCTCTCCAAGGTGACACAGATGGGGTGGACCTCTGGGGACTGGAACACCAGGGGTCAGGAGAGGACCAGGTGTGTGTGAGGTTAATGATGACACCAGACAGCTCCCCAAGGAGACCAGAGCATGCTCATGCTGGATAGAATGACTTTGATTGGATTAAGGGCATGGGACGGGTACAGAATCTGGCTAAAGCAAGTGGGGCGGAGGGAGTGCCGGGATGTCAGGGTCTGTGGTTCAAGCCTTTCTGTGGTGGGGTGGCTGTGGAACTTCAGGATCAGGAGGAGGCACCTGGCTGGGATCCCACAGTCAAAACAACACCAGGCATAGTCCATGGATGGCTCCTGGAGGCAGGCCTGCCACCTGCTTGTTTTCTTTATCTGTGCCGGTCCCAGGACTTGAACTCAGGTCCTGGGGCCTGTCCCTGAGCTTTTGTGTTTAGGGGTGGTAACTGTCCCTGGGGCATCAGCTCTACTTCTGGCTTGCTGTAACTCTGGGACAGAGCCTTGGATAGGAGGGCCCTGCCTGTCATTCAGCACAGCAGCTCTGACCTGCACCCCAGAGGCTGTGGTAAAGTGACCTCATAACAAGGGACAAGAGGAGCACTGCAGGAAATGTCACAATAGCCAAGCAAGGGACCTTCTCAAGGAGCTTTCGTATTGTATAAACAAATTTACATTAAAAAATGTGCTTTTCAAAAGTACACTTAATGTCCTTGTTGAATTAGCAGAGAGTCTAAAGATATGTAACAGACTGTCTAGGAAAATAAAGAGTTGTGAAAATATATTATGTGGAAGAAATAAGCATGGAAAAGACTAAGGGAGCAATGGTCAGGATGTTTGTGGTCGGTGCTAAACCAGCAGGACTCCCTTCCTTCCTTCCTTCCTTCCTTCCTTCCTTCCTTCCTTCCTTCCTTCGTTCATTCGTTAGTTCGTTTGTTCGTTCGTTCCTTCCTTCCTTCGTTCATTCATTCCTTCCTTCTTTTTTTCCTTCCTCCCTTCCCTCCTTCCTTTTTTGCTGGCTTGCCCTCTCTCTTCTCTGTCTGTGTCTGTCTGTCTGTGTGTCTGTGCCCCTCATTCTCTCTTTCCTTCTTTGTGCCAGGCCTGTGGCTTGAAATCTGGGAAGAATTTGCTCAAGGCTCGTGCTCTACCACTTCAGCCACAGCTCCACCTAATAATTTTTTTTTTAGTGGTTTATTGGGGATGAGAGTCTCAGAGAGTTTTCTGCCTAGACTGGGTTTGCAATGTGATCCTTTTATCTCACCTCCTCATAAAATCACAGCACAGGAATCAACCATCACACCAAGCTGCTATTTTCTTTTCTTTTTTTTTATTGTGAGAATACCCTACAGAAGTGTTACAATTATATGGGCAAGATAACGATTAGGTTTCTTATCAAGTATTGTTGCCTACTTTTTGTTTCCACTTCCCATCCCTTCCCATACTCCCGCCCTCCCCCTACCAGATTCCCCCACACACAAAAGTTGTAAAGTTCATTTTTCTTCAGAAGGCCTTGTATGTCTCTTTGTTGCTATGGGTCCACCTGTATCCCTAGTTAAACAATTTGTTTTTTCCATTCCCCTCCACAAATTATACCGACATCAAATACAGTGAAAGCATGGGTTATACCGTGGGTGAGGGACATACAAAGCAACATAGAAATCATCTTATAAATATGTTAGAAACAATTGGCAGCTGCTATTTTCTTTTCAATTACTTTCTTCTCCAGAACAAAAAGGACTTTAAGAATTATTTGCTTCACAGTATGGAGGTTCCTCAAAAGACTTCACATAGAACTCCCCTATGACCCAGCAATCCCACTTTTGGGCATTTACCCAAATGTTTACAAACAAGACCACAC